AATGGTTTTAAGAAAAAAAAGGGAAATCTCAAGAGAGCTACAATGCGGTGGGAAATAAGAAGTGAAAATAAGGAAAATAGGAGACATTATATTAAAGCTAAAAGAAAAACTAAAGTGGAAGTGGAAGTGGAAGAAGAAGAAAGTAAAGCAGGTCACAAATCGGTTTTTTTTTTCTCTTTTCTTCTTCCACGTAACACAACTCGTAGAATCGACAATTTTCATTTTTTTCTTTTTTTTTACCACCCACTATTCATTTTTTCTTTTTTTTTTTGCGGATGATTTCCTTAGAGATTCCATAGATGAAAATTGTTATCCAGGATGCTGTTTCCCGGGAATTTCAACAAGTATCGTTTTTTTTTTTTTTTTTTTTTTTTTACGCGCGCGACTCGTTCGTGGAATTAGATTTTATCGGGAAAAAATATTACTTATTACTACCCTACTCCCTATCCTATTCCCATTTTCTTACCTCATTCTAACGGGAAGAAAAAATTAAATTTTTTTTTAAATTTAAAATGGCGGGAAAAATATTTTAACTATTGACACGTTATAAATATTTACCCTTCCCCCTAATATCTCAATAAGTTATCGGTAATTAAATCCATTTTATTATTTTTTTTAACGTTTGTGTTTTTCCACCTGGAGAAAATGTTTTCCCGAAAAGAGAGAGAGATGGAAAAAGGAAAAGAGAAAAAAATATGATAAACATAAAAAAATCATTTCAATAAAAAAATCGTTAACCTTTGACAAACACCAAAGTTTTCACTTCTTCTTCCACGTACGTACATTCGTCGCGCTTTTTTTTTTTTTTACTTCCTTTCCTCCTTCTTTCCTTCCTTTATTACTACCTCCTCCCCTCTCACCTCTTTACATATTTTTATAATATTCTACAATATTTTTTACGCCCCCCCATCTTTTCCTTTAACCTTCCCCGAAATATATATATATTTTTTTTCTCTCTCTCTTTCTCTCAATATTCCAGCGCCATATTTTATTTAATATAATTGAGTGTTCTTCTGGAAAATACAATTTTTGTCTCTCATTTTGTTTTCTCCAGGATTTCCCGATGTAAAATTTCCATCGTTCCGTTTTTCGGAGATTTTTTCCACTCCCCTTTTTGTCGAATTTCTTCCGGATAAAATTTAAAATCCGACCGGAAATTTCCGCTTTTCTTTTTTTTTTTTTAATCATCATCGACGAACGGCAACAAAACGAATAAAAAGAATGATGATGATAATAATAATAATAAAATTAAAATTAAATACATAAAAAAAAAAAAAAAACGTTAAATTTATCACGCGAGTATTATAATAATAAAAGGAAGGAAAGAAAAAAGGAAGGAAAAAAAAGGAAAAAATTATATGTAACGATGCGAAAATTACTTCCGGTTGTAAAAAAAATTATCATCATTATTATCATCGTTATAACTATTTTTCTTTTTTTTTTTTAAATATTTGGAAGTTAAAAATCTGTAAGAAATAAAAAAAAGGAGGAAGAGGGAAGGGGGTGAAGGAAACTGGTTGGGAATTAAAAAAAATTTTCCCTTACGATCATCATCATCATCATCATCATCTCCATCATTATTATTATTATTATTTCAATGTGAATTTTCACGCGGATGGTAAAAAATAATAATTTTAAAAGGAAAAAAAAAAAAACCATCTTGATATGAATGCCTTATTACTGTCAGAGAAAAGTTGAAAAACTTGAAAGAGAAGAAAAAGAAGAAGAAGATATTTAAACTTTTCCCGGAAAATTTTCAAACTTTTCGTTATTTTTTCCTCGTGGAAAAAATTGAAAGTTTTCCATTAAAATCTCGCGAATAATTACTTTGACGTTGTTTTTCAAAAAAGAAAAGAAAAAGAAAAAGAAAAAAAAAAGAAAAACTCAAATTTTACAAAATCAGCTAAAAAAAAGTAGAAAGAGAGAGGAAGAGAGAGATTGAGAGGAAAACAGAAAAGATAAGAGGAAGAGAATGAGAGAGAAAATGTAATAATTATAAAATCGCATAAGACAATACATTTAAATATAAAAATTGAATTTAAATCTCGATTCTTATTAATAATAATAATATAGAACGATATCATTCACATCGATTTATATTTTATGACGTCATAAAAGCAGAAGTCAATTTTTTTTCGTCGATAATGAAAAGGAAGAGCAGGAGCGATCGAAGGGAGGAGGCTGGAGGAGAAAAGCCCGAGATAGAAAGAAAAAAAATTAAAAAGTTTAATTTAATTTTATAGAAAAAGGTTAAAATTGCGCAGAATTTTTTCTCTCTCTCTCTCTCTCACTCTCTTTCTATCTCTCTCTCCCTCTTTCTCTGACAATTGAACCAAAAAAGAAATAAATTAAAAATAATTTTTAAAAAAAATGAAAAAAAAAAAAAAAAAAAAGAAAAAAAAAGTCCACCATGAAAATGACAATTCAAAACATTTTTTTTTTATTTTTTTTTAACTTTTCATTTTTTTTATTATTATCATTATCATTATCATTATTATTATTATTATTATTATTACCATTTTACAATTTCAGGAGGAGACTGTAATGGAGGCTAAAAACTCAATTTCAAACGAGTTCTTTTTCTCTTAAGAGACAATGAGATGAAAATGGGGAAGAGATGAAAAATGATGATGACACAAACTTGTGACACTAAGAAAAAAAAAAAAAAAAAAAAACTGGAAAACTGGAAAATGGAATGGGAGAGAGAGAGAGAGAGAGAGGAAGGAAGAAAGAAAGAAAAAAAAAAGTTATTTTCACGTTGAGATAGGAAAAGGAGAAGGAAGAGGAGGAAGAGAAAAAAAAATGTTCCGAGAAAATTGATCAAGTTTTAATAAAAAAAAAAAAAAAAAAAAAGTGGAAGAAGAAAAAGAAAAAAAAAAAAAGGGAACGAGCGCGAGTTGGAAAATTTTTTTTTTTTTTTTTTTTTTTTTTACTTTTTAAGTTAAAATGCTTTAACTCCTTTCTTCTCCCACTCCCACCCCCACACCTCATCCTCCACCCTCCTCCTCACTCCTTTTTCATTTTCCTTTTCCACCTTCTTCCTCCCCCCACCCAACCTTTAGTTTTCCAGAAATATAAAAAAAAATAATAATCTTTGAAATTTATGGCCCCCTCGTGAAATTTCAACTTTTTTTTTTCTTTTCTTTTATTTCTTTTTCCAGTTTTCCAGTTTTTATATATATATATATATTTATTTTCATGAGAGGAGAAACCCCTCTCCCTCACTACCCCCTCCCCCGATTATTTTTTAAGTTGACGAAAACAAAAGAACAAAAAAAAAAATTTCCATAACTTTCGTTCCAGTAATAAAAAAACAAACGATTGATTCTTTTCATTAATAAAAAAAAAAACAAACAAACAAACGAATGATGATAATAATAATAATAATAATAATAATAATAATAATAACAATTTCAACGAATATATATTTATATATATTATATTTTTTCCAGTAAATAAAATGGAGTCTGGAGAAAAGAAAGAAAAAAAAAATAAATATTCACTTTATTTATTTATTTATTTTTTTTTAAAAAGAGAAATAACGTGGAAATTGTTATCGGGAAAATATGTTTTTCCTTTTTTTTTTTCCTTTTTCTAAAAGGTCATAATGACAACAACATTCGGTTCCCTTTTTTTCTCCCCCTTTCCCCTTCCTTTCCTCCGTCCCATTTCATCCCCCTACCACCACCACCACCCCAACCGATTTTATTTACTCTCACAATACGAAACGGTTGCTTTCTTTTTTTTTTATTATAAAACACGTACATCATTATTTTATCATATTATTATTATTATTATTATTACTACTACTATTATTATTATTATTATTAAAGGAAAAGGTTAAATTTGAATCGAGATGAATGTAAAAAAAAAAAATAATAATAATAAAATCCATCATATTTTTACAGTGATGCTGGAATAAAAAAAAAAAAAAAAAAAAAAAAAAGAAAATGAGAGAAAAGGGAAATGGAAAGAGAGAGAGGGAGAAGGGGAAAGAGGTTACGAACGATACGAACGAAGTTAAAAAAAATGAAGAAAGAGAGAGAGAGAGAGAGAGTTATTATTTCTCATTCCACGACGACGACGACGATTCTTCCGTTTATTTTTCTGTTTGGAAGGTGGAAATGAGAGAGAGAGAGAAAGAGAGAGAGACTCCGTTGAGCGCGATATACACACACAGGCAAACGGCCCTAATAGCTCTCTCACCCAAGTGCCTGGAAAACACCTTTTAATGAACTTTGTATCAGGAAATGAAAAAAAAATGGGGGAAAGAAAGGCAAAAAAAAAAAAAAAAAGAAAAAGAAAAAAGAAGCTTTAACTTAAATGCTTTTATGAAACCTTCTCTATTTTTTTTTTTTTTACCTCTCATATTTCTCTCTCTCTCTCACTCTCTCTTTAACTCTCTCTCTTTCTCTCTCTACCATTTTTCCATCGCTCTTTTTTTCCGTTTGTTTTCTTTTTCCCCGCCCGATATTTTTAAACGTTTAACTTTTACAAACGTCCATTTTTAAAAACCTTTAAATAATGAGTGAGAGAGTGAGAGAGAGAGAGAGAGAGAGAGATAATCGATTTTATCGATTAATCGAATTAATCGATATGAAACCTCTACTACTTCGTGTGTGATGAAAATAAAATAAAAATCGATTAATTTTAATTATTTTATAGTGAAGAGTAAAAAAAAGTTTTTTTTTCCTCCAAAATAATTCAAAACCGCATAAAATATAAAACAAGATACAAAATGAGAGAGAGTGAGAGGGAGAGAGAGAGAGGAAAAGAGGGGAAGAAAAAGTGAGAGAGAGAAATATTATAAAATTTATGATTTTAAGAAAATTATAAAATGGAAAAAGGAGAATAAGATGTGAAGATTTTTCAATGAGAGAGAGAGAGAAATGAAAATAAAACACCGCAGATGGTTCCATACGAAAAATTATTATTATTTCTTTGGAAAAAACTGGAGTGAAAATTATTATTATTATTATTAAGTAAACTTTTCTTAGAACTTACCAATTGTTAACTTGTAGTATTGTTAAACCCGTGTCTTGCGCGAGTTGTTTTTTCTGATCTTCCGATGGATAAGGATGCTGTAACAGAAAAATCAGACAAATCTTATAAAATATTAATAATAATAATGATGATGATAATTTAAAAAAAAAACGTGACACAAAGTGGCAACGGTAATGCTGATTCTTTCTCCGAATCTAAATGGATTCCAGGCGATACCGTCACGTCACGCGTTTGGGAGTGGCCACGTTCGTTTCATTTTTATATATATAAATACATATATATGAGTGACGTGTGAAAAAAAGAGAGAAAAAAAACTGACATTGCTAATTTTACGGGCCATTATTACGTTTTAACATGCTGCTACTACCACTACCACTACCCCTACTACTTCGTCTTTATTCTTTTCTTTTAACTTATTCATTATTTTACGAAACAAACGACAAACGACAACAAACGACAAATAAAAAAAAAAACGTTTTTTTTTTTTCTACCCGTTTAGGGTCGTAAATTTATTTATAATTGGAAGGAATAATTTTAACAAAAAAAAAAAAAAAAAAAAAGTTTTGTCGTCGTCGTGTGATTTTTTTCCTCCTCCTTTCTACTTCCACTTTTTTAACCCTCCCCCTCTCTCTCTTCGCATTATATATATTTTTTTCTTTTCTTTTTTCTTCTTCTTCCTACCTACTTTTTCCGCGTTTCCGTTCCAGATAATTAGGTAAAAGCTTTATTCACTTATTTATTATTATTATTATAAAAAAAAAAATTTTTTTTTGTCATTTTCAATTTATTTTTTATTTTTTTCATTTTGAAAAGAAAAAGAGAGAGGAGGGGGGAGTGAAGGAGTCGGGAGAGAGAAAAAGAGAGAAAGAGAGCGAGAGAAATATAAAAAAAAAAATTGGAAAAACCAAAAAAAAAATTTTTTTTCCAGCGTTTTCATAAAACGTTTAATGAAATTGCAACAAAGAAAAGAAACAAACGAACGGGCAAACAAACAAACGGACAAACATTTAAAATCAATTTAATTTAATTTAATTTAATTTTTTTTTTTTACGTAACTGGACAAAATCGTCTTGCTGGAAATTTTTTTAAAAATTTTTTTGGGGTTTCGTTCATTTGCAACAACGTCATCAACACATCAAATATTTATTTTTTTACTTCCCCCTTCCCCTCTCCTCTCCCTTCCCGCCTTTTTTTACCTTTTCGAATTTTCCATTTTTTCTTTTCTTTCATTTCTGAACAAACATGAATATTCGACAAACAAAAAAAAAAGAAAAAAAATTAACTCTCACGCACACACTCACACAATGAAGGGCGGACCATTGTTGTAATGTAATAAAAATAGGGTTGTGTCTCGTGTGTGTGCGTGTGCGTGCGTGTGTGTTAATGATAGGGCTGAATTTTTCCCGGTCCTGTCACTTTCAGATTGTCACGTGGCACTAGATTATTTGACATTGCGTTTTCTATTTATTTTTTTTTCTTTCCTTTTTTTTGACGAAAGTGCCACGCCCGCGTTCAAATGCAAAGTTTTTAATTCTTTTTTTTTTTACTCTCTCTTTCTCTCTCTTTCCTCAAGGAGCAGCCCTCGGGAAAAGTTTGACGAATAATAAAAAAAACCGGAAATGGTTCAATTCAAACATAAACGACGGGAAAAAAAGTTTTTCTTTTTTCTTTTTTTCCCAATCGTTCGGTCCATCATCATCGACATAACCTTCGCAACAAAGTTGTTTAACGTGGCACGAGCACACACACGCACGCACCCCCAACCCCACCCCCCCACACGCAAATAAATAAAAAAAAAGGAAAAATTTTCATTGATAACATATTCCTTCAGTGTCGTCGCCAACTGTCAAAGAAATGACCGTTGAAAAACATTTTCTCTTAAACTTAACAACTGTCACTTAAATGTTCGTTGAAGCAAAAACCCGTGAAGGAAAAGAAGAAGAAGAAGAAGAAGGAAGATTGTGAGTCCCCAGGGACAATCGTTAAGAAAACGTTAGCAAAAAAAAAACTAAAAACTAAAAGTAGTAGTAGTAGTAGTAGTAGTCGTCGTGGCACCAGGGAAACTGAGTGACCACTTTATTAAGTTCAACTTTTTAGAAACGATGTAAAAGCAAAAAAAAAAAAAAAAAATTTTTTTTTTCTGTGGGAAAGATTTAAAAGCTTTGAAAAAAATTCCTTTTTTTTTCTTCTTTCTTTTGTCGTTTCGACTTTTCTTTTCACGCCCCCCACTACCTCCCTAACTCCCGTCCCCCCAACGTAAAACACGTTAATTTTATTCCTTTCGACGGCTATGCAAAAAAGTAGAAAATAAAAAAAAAAAGAAACATTTTTCAATTTTGATTACTTTTTTTTTTTTTCTCTCTTCCTGTTGTCGTCGTCGTGGCAGGAAAGAATGAATTGTTAGGGAGGAGGGATGAGGAATGAGAATCACATAAATATTTATGCGTAAAAAGTCACACGCACGCGCACGCACGCACGCACACACACGAAAACTCAATTCCGTCGAAGTCTCAAAGGACCACTGAAAAATAAAATTTATTTATATAAATATAAAAAAAAAACGCATTCCTTTTTTTTTTTTTGTTAAGGGCGTCCGTTTGTCTTTTGGCAACAACAACAACAAACACAACAAACAACAAAAATTTTTCTTATAATTTTCTCACGTTAAAAATTTTTTTCAACCCTTGAGGCAAACCAAAAAGGGCAGGTAGTACGAAGCAGGTGAAAAAAAAAAAAAAAATTTCTCTCTTTTCGGTCAATATAATTTTCACGTTGGTCATTTTGATCACGTGACTAAAAAATTTTACTTTTTTAAAACGGAGGGGGTTGTTGCAAATATTTCACATATATATACAAACGATTCGGGTAACAGCAGACGACGGAGACGTGTAAAAAAAAAAAACAAAAAAAAATTTTAATTAATTTAATAATAATCGAATAATAAACGGAGGAGGAAAAGGAAGAGTTAGAAAAACGTCGGTTGCAACCGAAAAAAGTCGAAAACAACCGAAGATGCGATAAAATAAAATAAAATAAAAAAAAAAGTAAATTTCCCTTTTTCCGGGGGGATGCGAGAAAAAAAAAAAAGCAATTTCAAACCTCAAATCGTTATGTTTATATGGAGCCATCAAAGTTATCTGTGGGAAATTTCTTTTTTTTTTTACATTTTCCGTTATACTTAAAACGGACATGAATGTTGAATGGGCCACCAATGTTCAGGGTGGCGGTGGTGCAAGGCGGTGGTGGTGGTGGTGGTGGCGGAGGCGGCGTTTTCCTCATGGGAAACTTTATACCGTCTATCCTACGAGATTGATTTTAAAATCGATGCAAATTCCTCATGTAAAACGTTTTATTGCATTTAAGTCCGACTTTTTTATTACTTCAATGTCCTAACAGCTTCTTTTCATTCTTATTTAATGGTTTTACTGCTTCTCGTAAAAATTTCTTTTCTTTCTTTCTTCTTCTTCCCTCTCTTTCTATCTCTCTCTCTTTCTCTCACGTTTCGAATTCTTCCAGTACCTGCTCGTTTGTTCGTTAAAAAAAAAAAATATTCCAGACGAGAAAAGAATTTTCCCAATATGTGATTCCCAACATTTTATTTTACAATAGGTGGTTGCTACGATTCGCGTCACGTGACCATTTCACAATAATAATAATAATAATAATAATAAAGGTTAAGAGAAGACATAATCGAGTTAATTCGGATCGTAAAAAATAAACCAACTCTTCGTATTTCGATTAAAGGGTTAAAATGAGGAGGGGGGGATGATGATGCAATGGCATTGACTTTGTTGTGTTTGTCGTCCTTATCAGAGTCCTACACGCACACGCACGCACGCACGCACACGCATTCATATTCTAGTTACACGAACGAAACTAACGACGAACCCAATGTCATCCATCATTTTTTTTTTCCCTTTAACTCGACATCCTTTTTTTTTTTTTTTTTTTTAATTCTCTCTCTCTCTCATCCATTTTTTTTTTTTTTTCTAATCTTTTTAAAAAAAAAAAAAAATATCCCTCAACTAAATAATAATACGCCGCGTTTTAAAATGGATACAATATTTATTATTAACACCTACGCCATTTTTTTTTCCTAAAAAAGAAAGAGAAAGAGAGGGCGAGAGAGAGAAAAACATTTTTTCCATTCGATCATTTTAAAAAAAATATTTTAATATTAATATAAACAAATGAACGGATTTTGTTTTGTTTTTTTTTATATTTTAAAGTTGGCAGTACTGGTTGTTTAAAAAAAAAAAAAAAAAAATTTTCTTTCTTTCTTTCTTTCTTGCGTAAAAAAAGAGAAAGAAAGAAAAAAAAAGAAAGAAAAAAGTTAGCTCGTATCATTAATCTCAACCCCAAACAGAACAGCTGATGGAAAATGGAGCCATAAATAACAATCTTGCATTTCTCTTTCTCCCTTCCCTCCCCTCGCCCCCTCTCTCTCTCTTTCCTTTTTTTTTCCATCCCTCTACACCTCTTTTTATATATATATATTTTTTTTACTTTACTTTTTTTTTTTTTTCAGCTCCTTGTTTCTCATATTCCTTATTTTTTTTTTTTTTAGCAGCCAAGGGAATAGTTCAAATCCTCACTCATAAAAAAATATAAAGTAAAATGATGAGAGAGAGAGAGAGAGAGAGAGAGAGAGGGATGGAGAGAGAGGTAGAGAGAAATCGCGTACCGAGCCTCCGCGATTTCTTTTTCTTCTTTTATGTAAAAAACGACAAAATCCTGTGACGTATAAAATATAATTTCTTCGATTGTCCTTCCTTATTCCTCCCTTCCTCCCTGCCCTCCTCCTTCCTTCCTTCTTAAAAATCTTTCTTAAAAGGGGAATCGCCCTAAGGATGTGGATATATTTTAGGGGGGATCCCCTCCTCTCATATAAAATAAATCATAAAATATTTAACCGCAATCTCATAATTTATATATGTAATTAACTAATTGGCGTGCCCACCTACCTAAAGTTAATTTAATAATGATAATAAAGAAGACGATGACGAAAAGGAAATAAATACAAATTATTATTATTATTATTATTATCACTTATTAATGACGTGTAATTTTTAATTTT